TGTTGATATTTTATACAATTGATTTAAAGTTTATTTTTAGAAAAATTTGCTTGTATTTTCTATTAGGATCTAAGTTTGCACTCCATTAAAAAATAGACTAAATATATATTTTTAACTTTTTTTTTTCAATTATATTCTTCTCGTTGGCCAATATTGAAATTGGCTGATGATAAACTTACAAGATATATACTTAGTGAATCGGCAAAAAGTTAGAAGATTGGCCCATTGACCCACGTTCCCGTTTACTATTTGTATTTCGTTCTTTTTAATAAAGAAAATAGAATTTTGCTACCCAACATCCATGGATATTCAAGAATTATAAAACCATTATTTATGTTTTTGAATAAATGTGAGATGGAAAGGAACTTGTTTGTGTTGTTTCTAAAATTTCTATACAACCATTTTCTATTTTATAATTGAATAAACAAAAGAATTCTTATTTTACATATCCTAGAAAAATGGAAAACGAATTTCATATTCATMTGCTCAAAATAGTTTTTAATAAATTCACATTACATTATTCAATTATTTATATAATAAAATAAAATTATTATTTTAATAATAAAAATTATAAATGAATTTCTACTAGGATGTTTTTTTAATGTTTCTAAAAAATAAGAAAAAGAAATTGCCAAATGCTTAGGYTTTTCATAAAATTTAGAAATATACCAAAGGAGCCCTTTATTTTGTTGTTTTCAAAAATTTTGAAAACGTTTSTTAAAAATGAGAAACAAAAATAGTTACCAACACTTATGTTTCTCAAAAACTAAAAACGAGAAATAAGAAACGACAAAATTACCATACAAACCCTAGTTAATTACAAAACCAATTCAATTTTTTTAATTTTAATTTATATATAATTACTAAACACAAAAACTAAGAAAAAATTATTAAACATGTTTTTCACTGTCTTTCTTAAAAATTAAAAAGAAAACAATTAACGAAAAACAAAAAGGGAACCTTAACATACAACCTAAGAGATCGATTTTTTCTTTTTTAAAGAGAAAAGATTATCAAATACTTTAGGAATGTATAGGAGGGAATTAAGATCAAAATCAGAATAACGAATATTTAGTTCAAAATAAAAAACTAATATTAAKAACACATAAAAAGACAYGTGAAATAATTTAAGTCACTTTTTCTTATCCAAACTTTGTGTGTGAAATGATTTCAAAATTTTGAATTAGGGAAGCATGATACAACCAAAGTCTTAAATGTCGATGTCAATGAAAATATCAAAGTCTCAATTTTAAGAAAATRTCGATACCAACTGGATATTTCTAAAAAAATAAAATAAATAACTCATTACAAATATTTAMATAAACAAATAAATATTTTACCATTTAAAAAAGTAAAAAATTATTAATATTAATATTATGTGTATATTAGTGATATTGTGTTGATACTCTTTATATTTTGTCAATTTTTCTCGATCTATATCTATAGTATATATAAAAGGTAGGATTCGGAGAAACTTTTTTTTGCCATTTTTGCCATTTTTGCCCTTCATTTTTTATACTTTTGAATATGAAGTTTGAGGCAAATTGGTCCTTTTACCTATAGCTTATTAAAATTTTAAATTAAGGTGAGATTAAATGATAAAGAAATAAATGGTGGGTGGAAATAAATGCTTAGATTAAGAATTGCTTCATATTCCAACATTTTGTCCCACAAATTGCTAAATGTTTAATATTGAAAGGTTTAATAGGAATTAATACAATTTTATGATTAAAACAGTTTCAACAAATTCAACAGATTTTGAAAATGAAATTGACTATGGAGAAATTAATAATTGTTGATTTTGAGCCATTACCAAGGAGCTAATTCGTTCAAAACTCAGTTGACTGCTTCTATAGATAAGGCGGAGCGTCCTTGGCTCAACATTATAGCACATAGGGCTTCAGCGCTACTACAGCGCTTCGCTAACTCGAAGTGCCTCGCTATGAGAATGACGCTTCGCTAACGCTCGGCTAAGTCTTGAACCTTCGCGCTGACCGTTCGCTTTCTCAGTAGCAAAAGCGCTTCTCTTTGCCCCTTACGATGAAAGCCTTAAGCGAGAGATTTGTTGTTTTATTGCTCCCGCTTCCTCACATCTGCGCTCGTCAAGCCAAACTTCCTATGGAAGTTTGTAAAATTCTCATATTTAAGGAAGAACGAGAAGGAAAATTTAGCAACATCATCTCAAATTCTGTTTTTCTTTACAAGCTAGAAACAAGAATAGATTCTCACAAAATTGTTGGKTTTTAGGATTTTTTTTGTTTGTGTTATTGAAGGAAATTAACTCTTTATCCCAAGGGAGATGAGAAACAAAATAGGTGTGGTCATACTTTCCTCTATTTGGTAACGACTGAGAATAACATTTTATCAACGTCTACTTCAGAGGTTCAGATTGTCTTTATGTTTCTTTGTTCATGATAAACTCATAGACAAATATTAAGGTAACCCAAATTCCTCAAAATATTGGTTACTTTATTTGAGGTTTTGAAATTTGATATGCACTATTCCTAACAAATCCTCTCCTTTTAGTATCCRTTTCAAATCTAACACAACTTCAAGATCAAGCTGATTAGAGGTAAATCCAAATTATATTTAACTTTTGGTTTTTTTTTTTTTTTTTTTTGAAAATGTTTGAAATTTTCAATAATTAAGCCAGTATAGATTTAGGTGGTGAGGAAAAATATGATAGCAAATACCAAAACATAAATAGATATAAAATGAAAAGATTGATCAAAACAAAACTGTAAATAAACTTTACCTCATTTTAGCCGCAGATTTGGTAGATCGAAACAATACTACAACTTAAAAAATGATGATCTAGGAAAATCACGAACTCCCTAATGGTGAATAACTCATACCATGTACAACTCTAAATCATTGTCTTTCTTTATATTCACATAGTGCACCCTTATAAAAAAAATTGGAATGTTGTAGGTTAGAGTTTATAGGTGAAATGCGTGTGTTATGGAAATTAACGAAAATAGGTTTTCCTTAATTACGATATATTTTAATAATGTGAGTCATTAGTTTTAATTTAATTTAAATTTATTACTATTATTATTTGAGATATGATATTTCACTGATTAGATATGGAAAAAAAAATTAAGTATATGTTAAAAAACATTATCCCATATTTTAATAATTAATGTTTTGCAAATTTGACCTATTATATATGGTAACAATATTAATTATAGGTTTAAAAATATGTTTTTAAAAAAATAATAAAGTAGCCATCCTAAGGTAACTATTTAACAATATTAATTATATGTTTAAAAGTCTATTTTTTWAAAAATAATAAATTATCATAAGGTAAGTATTTAAAGTAATAAATTAGTTTTCTTTAAGGTGGATATTTAAAAATAGTTACAATTGATTGTGATCCTTTTATATACTTAATTTAATTTAAAATAAATAAACATAAAATAATAATATTTTTTCTATTATGTTAAAATGTTCCTTTTTACTTTATACTTAATTAATATAACGTGTAATATGGGAATTTGGGATTGCGACACAAGTTTTTTTTTAAGTACTTTGGCTTTTGATTTTTTGATATGGAAACATAAAGGTGAAATGTGTGATATGTAAATTAAGAAAACTATATATTCCTTAATTACCGCAACTAATTTTAATCTAATTTAAATTTGTTATTTATTTTTTTTCTTTTTAGATTTGAATTATTAGATATGGAAACAAATTAAGTATAGATTTCAAAAAATTGTTTAAACCAATGTGAATGTGGTAATTAGGGTTTACAATATTAGTATTTCTAAATTATCTCCATATTTTCGTTAAAAAAATTATCCCATATTTTAATAATGTTAGCCATTAATGTTTCAATAATTTGACCTATTAGATATGGTAACAATATTAATTATAGGTTTACACATTTGTTTTTGACAAATAATAAATTAGTCATTCTACGATAACTATTTAAAGTAATAAATTAGTTCTCTTAATGGTAAATATTTTAAAATTGTTACAACTTTTTATGATCCATTTTACATACGTAATTTATTTAAAATAAATTAAACTTAAAATAATAAATATTTTTTATTTATATTAAWTTTTTTTTTASTATGTACTTATTAGTCTAATGCATAAGGGGGTTTCACTTTTTTAAAAATGTATATACATTTTTTGAAATTATTGGGATGACGATACAATTTTGTTTTATAAATTTTCTTAATACTTTGGATTTTGATTTTTTGATAGGCCAACAGTGAAATGTGTGTGATATGGAAATTAACAAAAATATGTATTCCTTGATTACCGCATATTTTATCAATGTGAGTCACTYATTTTAATTTAATTTTAACATATTATTATTATTATTATTTTATTTTATTTAGATTTGACTTCTTAGATATRGAAAAAAAAATTAAGTATAGATCTTAAAAATCAGTACCATAAATTAAAACTACACAATTATACATGCAAATCAGTATTTAAAACTATAAGTACACAAATCAGTACTCAAAACTACAAGTACACAATTATAAGTATAGATTCGAGTTATTCTCGTACAATTTTTCAAATCAGTACTCTCAAAATTAACAACACGAATATATGTATGTGTAATATTTACTATAAATTAAAACTACACAATTATACGTGCAACGCACGTGTATTTTACTAGTACTATAGAAATATCAATTCACTTAACCTATTGATATACATATAAATATCGATGAAAATTTAATATACTGAATATTGCAACAATCATCTCGAACTCTTAAAAGCATATGATTTTCTCGAACTTTCTCCATCAAGATATTCTTTGAAACATTTTTCTATACTAAGAATGAGTTTGGAAAGAGTTCTTTTCTATACTAAGAATGAGTTTGGAAAGAGTTCTTTAAAATATGCTCTCAAGCTTTGCGACCGTAACTCAACTAATTAAAACATATATTTCAACTGAGGGCAAAGATTTGAATCCACACCCTCCGTATCGTTGACAGAAGAAAATATATATACACACACACACRAGGCTTTTGCTCCAATTTAACACATTCATCTCTTCAAAAATGATTAAAGGATTTGCCTCATAAAGCATTCAGACTTTTTAAAAAAAAACTAAAAAAAAAGGCTCATCCATCCGTGAAGAAAGAGACCATCCTCAGATTAATGAAACAAATTATTCAAAACACAAACCTTTCTCCAGAAAATGATTATGCCCTCAATAATAATTCAAGAATCAATTCCCAACCAAACTTTTTAAACACTATGGTTGCTGGAGATGAGTAATTTGTCTTCTTCAGTTGGGAGATTACTCATTGTGATTTGTATGCCCGACTTCGAGTTCATCTTGTTCCACTCGTTCTCGACTCGGAAGAAGATCCATTGGAATCGTCGGAAAATCTCCAAGGCGGTGATTGTGAACACTGTAAGATAATTGTGGCGGAGATGAGCAGACAACTTATACGTCCATGTACACCGAAGTATCAGATTACTTCCGAGCACCCAAAAGTAGACCTGAAAAATCATAAAACAATACAAACCTTCAATTTGTGACAGCAAAATATCATATTTTTGTTTAAGGAGTTAATCTACTCGTGGATTATTCAATTAAAACACAAAAACTCATTCCTCCTCTAATCGTTTTTGTTATCAGTAATTTAGTGATTAAACATTAAACATACTCGAACATTTTTGATAATCACTTACTTTTTATAATATCTAAAAACAAAACGTGGAAAAACTTGGTTGTCCATTGAATTTATGAAAGATATAATGGTATTCACAGGACGAAATTGGTAGACATGGTACTAAAAAAAAAGAACGGTATAAGATACAAGTTTATTTGCTGTTAAATTATAACTTTAATCCCTCAACTTTGAAGATTTTATCTAATAGATCCCTAAAATATAAAAAGTGTCTGATAAATCCCAAACTTTCATTTTTTAATCTAATAAGTCTCTCAAGTTCAAGTCTAATTGGTCATCGAACTTTCAATTGTGTGACTAGTAGGTCATGACCTATGAAACATTTTTTTAATTCACAAACCTTTAGACATAAAATTGGAAGCCAGGTTCAATTAGACATAAAATTCAATTTTTGTGTCTATTAAACATAAAATGAAAAGTTTAAAAAACCTATTAGATACAAAATTGAAAGTTCATGGATCCACCAGTTCATATTGGTTGGACCCAACTCTAAAATTTTAAGAACTAAAATCATAATTTTGAAAACGACTCTCTTGGATTTACAAAAGCTACCAGAGATTTCACATCCAAAATTATTTTGAAACCCTAAACTGGAAGTACATCAAAATAAATCTATCCTTGAACAGAGTACAAAGCTAGGAAGGAATGACAGGGAAAATTACAAAACAATCCCTTAAAAAATTTCGACCATTTAATCCAGAAAAAGAACTACAAGAACGGTGCTCGAAACAGGTTAAGCCAAGTGGCCAAAAATGTAGGTCATCAACATAGCTCAGAAGTTGAGAACTATCTAGTTCTCCAAGTTAGTTTTATGCCGCAACAACGCACGTKTTAAATCAACAAGGATTTGAACTTATTAGAAAACCAACTAGATGTATTATTATGGTTATGAAAACAATTCAAGTCTGTGCATGAAGGACATTACCCATTTCTGCCCATAAAAGAGATGCGAGACAAAGTGGGGTCGGTTGAATTTGAAAATCCGAGTGAAGGTGCTGTCACAAAGTAAAAAACATATGTCAGCACATCACAAGACCATAAACCTATGTGAAACAACATTTTCTCCTAACACTTGACGGAACAGTGTATAAAATGACCAAAATTTCACCACCACATTCAACACAAGTGATTATGAGCTGAAATGAAAAGAATGTCCCTGCTTTCATTTCTYTTACTCAAGAAACAGAGCTTCCATTCAGAAAAATTCAAAGGAAACACGAAGAGCATACAAAAACAAAGGTCCAAAAGAAAGAGCCAACAGAGCTTTCATAGCTAGCATACCTCAAGTCCCAATCTCGTTTCACATCCCAGTAAAATGAATATGAAGAGTTTAGAACACTAGACAGCAGCCAAAGGGGCCGATAAAAGCCGGTCCACCTATCAGGGAAGATGTGGTATTTAAGGGCAGAAAGAAAAATCACCGGTACTGCCGTCGAATATTTTAAAGCTGTAATGATGAGCAGATTAGCATCAAGACTAAAAATAGATCTGAAGCATAAAAGTACCAACAAATCCAATGAAAATGTTTAAGCAAGAATAATCAATTAAAGAGTTCAAAATATAAGATATTAACAGAATTAACACAAGATCATCCTTAAATGAACACTAAAGGAAAAAAATGGTCATTTGGCTCTCTTCCTCCTTGGCTGCTGTATAYGTTTCAAGGATGAAGAAACAATAGATCATGAATTCATCCATTGTTCTKTTTAGGTGTGGGTGGTTCTTTAAGAAAATTTGGTCAGGCTTTCTGCCTCCCTTTTCAAAGATTGATGACTGGCTTCCTGRAGTCTTAGGCTGGTGGTTTAATGGAAAAAGCTAAGATTTTGTGGAGATATGCAGTTAGAGCTCTTCAGGAGTTCTTGAGGATGGAGAGAAATTGAAGAAGTTTTTAAAATGTAAACAGAACATATATGGCTTTTATGATATTTTACCGCTCATGGCCCCTTGTTGGAGTCTCTTCACAAGATTTTTCCATATTCATCATTTCTTCTCGATTAACTTCAATTGGGATTTCTGGGCTGTTTCCCCAACTCTTTTCCGGGCTTTTGCTTGAATATATTCGCTTTTATAAAATATATATTTTACAAAATGAAGACAAACATCAATTTGGATGAGACAGGGAAAGAGAATCATGAGATCTCACCATTCAAAAGTGTTGTTTTTTCCCCTGTATCCTTGTATTGTCGAAGACATTGGAACAAACGAAAAAGATAAGGCAAAACAAGAACCACRGGAATTGCAACAGAGTGACTTCCACAAACAGAATCAGCCTCAAACCAGGCAATGGTGGCAACCTGAATTAGTTTGATAAATACAAACAATGCAACTTCAGTCAAACAAAACTAGATGTGGATCTAGAACACAACCACTGTTTCTATAAAGAAAAGAAAACACTTCAGTATCCTTCGGCAAATTTAGCTGCAAGTGAAAGGATGAAGTGTTGGAAAGAGTTATAAACAACGTCCATGAAAACAGAAACTATTTGGAAACACAATAGAATAATCTCTTGAACCCTTCCACCAGTTTGAAGAATKTAAATAACAACATTTAAAAAAAATAGTTGGAAATTGGAATCCACTGGATATAAATAATTAGCAAGAAGCGAAAAGAAAAAAACCCACCTGTCGATGAATCATTCGACACACTGATCTTTCCAAATCAGAAAACACCTGTAGCAAATATCAACATTATTAACACAATAACATATTTGTAAACAGAAATGATTCAGGAACTCTGGTTATGAATTCCAAACAAGATGAAGCAAGACATTATAAGGGGTAGCAGTTATGTTTGACATTTACACCTTAAGCCATAATTCATGAAAATGAAAAATGCTCACACGCATTTAGTATAAATAGAGTTATATACAAGTGAAGAGAAAGCCATTTGCATTAAGGTGTCCTCTGCGGTACTACCACTGATACTATTATTAAGCCAAACAACAAATCTTGAAAATTATTGATTAAAAACAGGAGGATGCAAACCTTTGACATTGACGTCAGAATATCAGCCAAGAAAAAGTCGGCAAATGTAATTGCCTGCATTTGGAAAAAGATTAACAAATTAACATCCGGACATAGCATGTGAACTCCAAGGATTCATGTATTATTAGAGAAAATGAGCCATTGTCATGTAGTCATCGGAAAAATGTTCCTAGTGTTTTCCAATCCTTCATACTTATTATGCATTATTTAATCATTTAAAATAAAAATAAATAAATAATACGGCAATGTTTAAGATCATGGAACTATTTTAGGAAAGAATATATGAGATACTCTCACTTGACCTTTAAATTATGAAATATAGAGTAAAATTCATTTCAATAACACAAACATTTTGAATTGATGAGACATATTTTGCAGGCATGTATTTGCATTAAAAAAAAATGGTATACTTAGTTTTCCATTTTTCAATTTTTTTTTTTTTGTTAAAAAAAAAGAAACCTGAAGCGATGTATTACTCACAAAGAGGAGTTACAAACTAAGGGTAGGGGAGAAGAGGGATCCCCATCCCGAAGGGACTAACTCAGGAAGGACCTCCAATTTTGAATAATCAAATTAAGGGAGTAATTACAAGAAAAAAAACTTACTTTGGGCTGTCAGTTTTCCTTATATTTAAAGACCAACTTTGAAGGCTAGAGAAAAAGTATCACATATTTTAAAAACTTACCTGCAGTGGGAGAACTATTCGCCAAAGTGTCCTTAATATGAAAAATCGAGATGACAAATAAAATATTTCAAAAGGGAAAATCAAAATCATCGCCACAGCAATATATAAGAGAACCTGCACGAAAGGTAAATAAACTTAATGTCATTTCATCTACAGATAAGTAAAYATAAAACATAGCCAGTCCAAAGTATCACATGATAATGAGCATCAGCATTACAATCAAAATCTTCAGTATGCCGATTCCCTGGTTCTATGAAAAAGTATGCATGGGGGTAATCATAATTCAAACTTACATGCAACAACATATTAGTTATGTGATGTACATCTCATTAAAAGAACCTCAAAGCCTTCACAGATTGGCCAGGGAAAAAGTAGTAAAATTATGAACCGCAACAAAGCAAGTATGAAACATTAAAATTGTTTGAAGTTATCATGTTTACCATGWCAAACTGAAAAGTGAAAATACCTAAAAAGCACCAGCAATAATGATTAACGTATCTGAGTCCAACACATGTYGAACACTAGTTAACACAATAAACATGGGTCAAACACTAGTGGCACAAATTAAATATAGGAAAAAATACACTTTTGGTCCCTAAGGTTTGCAGTAGTGCAGTAGGTGTCTTTTTTTTTTAGTACAACATGTTGGGTTGGGGAGGGGATTCAAACTCCCAACCTCTTAATTGGAGGTATATACCAATTATTGCTGAGCTATGCTCGCTTTTGGCGTAGTAGGTGTCTATTTAGTCTATGAAGTTTCAAAATAACACCTTCACTCCCTAAAGTTTGAATTATGTGTCTAATTAGTCCCTAAATTTCAAAATTGACACAYTTGGTTCTTAAAATTTAGGAAATAGTTCTAAATAGTCCATTAGTTGACTCGTGAAAATATGACATGGCATTTAACTTGCTGACTAGATTTACTGGTATAAGATTTTTTTGGTGACTTGGMAAAGTTTTTTTAATTTCTTTTTAATTTTTTGGACTTAGGTGGCATATCTCCTCCTTTCTACCCCAAACCCTTCTCTTTCAATCTTTTCCTCYTCTACCTTTTTCTACTCCAGCAAGTGCCGCCACCGCCGCCTTTTCCCGCTGCGCCGGCCGCGCTCGTCCATGCCTTCTCTCACTCACTCGGCGCCATCCCCTCGTCCAAAGGAACGAAGGACATCGGCTGTCGTTCCAGATCTGGAATGTGTTAGCCTTTTGGGGTGGATTACAGAGAAAATGGAGGTGGATTTTGTGTACCATTCGCTCTTCTTCTTTCTCACTTCGAAACCAGACCCAGATGGACAAAATAACTATACCCCTGCCTTCAAAATTTGAAAGTAAACACTAAACAATCCATTGGAGTAGATCCAAAAGAGATCACGAATCCATAGGCATCAATTTTGGAAAAGTCAGAGACAAGAGAAAAAATAAATCAGTTATACAGATTATGTTGCGAATCTCTGTAGAAACCAACTAAATTAACACTGGAATGGCGACCAGATCTGGAAGTACGTCTGAAACGCTGGCCAGATTTGGAATGACGGTAGCCTTCATTTCTCTAGAAGAGAGGGCGGCATCGAGAGAGAGAAGGCATGGACGAGCGGCAACCAGTGTGGCAGGAAAAGAGGGTGGTGGTGGTGGCTGCATTTGCCGGAGCAGGAGAAAAAGGGAGAAGAGGAAAAGATTGAAAGAGAAGGGTTGGGAAAGAAAGGGAGAGAGATATGCCATCTAAGCCCAAAAAAATTTAAAAAGGAAAGAAGAAACCTTGCCAACTCATTAAAAAATCTTATATCTCTAAATCTAGTCAGCAAATTAAATGCCATGTTCTAGTTTTCGTGAGTCAACTAATAGTCAAAGGACTATTTAGAACTATTTTCCAAATTTTAGGGACCAAGACTATMTATTTTAAAACTTCAAGGACCAAATAGACACGTAATCCAAACTTCAGAGACCAAAAGATTTTGAAACTTCAGTAACCATATAGACACCTACAGCAAACTTCAGGAATCAAAAGTGTATTTTTTCCTTAAATATAAGTTCAAGACTTCTCATGTATCTATACTTATTAAGCATAATAAATTGGCATAAATAGTAATATAGGACAAAAATACTAAATTTTGAGAGCAAAATACGGCAAACCCCCTTTTTAAGCATATAAATGCATAAGCTTATTGAATTTGAATTTCTTTATATAAAATGTCATTTAATAAACATGTAATTGTCATGTCCATGTCCATGTCCTAGATTTTTAGAAGCTAACGTGTCAATGCGTTTGTGTTTGTGTCTCGTGTCAGTATACGTGCTTCTTTGAAAAATACAACTATAAAGCAGATAGACCCAAATTAGCAAAAGGCCAAGTCTCATGTGTTCAACGGAACAAAGAACATAATTGGATTTCCAAAGAAATTAAAGTATTCATCAAATACTAATAAAAGAGGGGGCATTTATTACACTGGTTGTGACGCAGCTAGTGATACTTCTCCATGAGAATAAAGATAGAGGTAGGCTGTCATGCTAGTTGGGACAACAATAGTCATCCATGTGGCACACTGCAAAAGAAATTTAGTCAGAGTTACAGAACGTAATAATATCTATTAATTAAAAATAGAGTTAACAGATAGAGTGTGCGAACTGGTAATAACAGACCATAATAGGGAAAAGTAYATAATAGCATTGAAAATGATTATGAATTGTCAGGAACTGGAAGATGCATAATTAAGAACCTGAGAACTTTTACCTTCCAAATTTCTCGGTGTGTAAGATGACTTTGATCAAGCTCAAATATCTTTGCATAATTAACGTTAGACTGGGAAAAAACCCATAAGTTAATTCCCCATAGCCAAACCATCATAGTCTGCAGTACCAAAACTAAAAAATCTGTTAGTACAAATGTAATGGTATTCATAGCCAGGCTAACATAAGCACAGCTCAGTAGTAATTGGCATGTACTTCTTCCCTTGAAATCAAAAGTTCGATCCCCCATACCCCCAAATTGTTGTACTAAAAAAAATGAAATGGTATTCATAACCAGATTCAAAAGGCAATTACAAAGGAAAAGGTCACTCACCACCAGAAGAAGAGGATTATAATACAGAAATGCCTCATAGAGAAATAGATCTCGCAGGTCTGCACTCATTCTCATAACAGAATCCCAGCCAATCTGTAACTCAAACAATACCAAGTAACAAGTAAATAAAATCAACTCATCCACTACAAACTACTGTTTTCAGTTAATCAAAAGCATGATGGTCTGATTGAACTAACCTTGCAACAAAACATACCCCAGAATATGAACAAGAAAACCTGGACATTGGTCTGAATTAGAATTCCATACAGCAAGGGGGAAAAAAATAGAAAGCAACAACAGAAGATGAAGGAAGGCATATTTCTGGCTCAACGTTGAAACTTCTACAGGTAAATCCAAAAAATTAAGAAAAAAATAAAATTTGATTCCCAAGTTTGATAAGTACCAGAAACTCCCCTAAACTTTATTCCACGTTTTAGCAATCTTTTCAATCGAAAGGATTATTATTTATACAAAATAATGTGCCACTGCYATCATATGCAATTTAGAAAAACATGATGTGCCCACTGACTTGGACAACTTCACTGTCTCGAACTTCTGATCTGTTTCTTCAAATTCTGCCTTCATCCTCTCTTTCCGTTTCCCCTTCTCTTTCCCTGTCCATTGAAACTCCCCTCTCCTCCTCTCTCCCAATCTCTCGGACAACTCTTTTTTTCTTCTAAAATGTTAAAGCAAAAAGAATTTATTTCAAAATATATATATTGGAAGTCCTCATACTCGTAGCTTCTCCCTAAAGGATATTGAGCAGATCCCCAAACAATGGAGATAAATGTCCTAATGTGTAAATGCAACYTGAACTTATAAATGATGATAAAGGACATGTAGAAAAACAAAAAATTCTCCCTTATCCACTTTTAAATAAAGCATAAATTGATTGAAAGAATGCAAGAAAATATTAGTCACTTTCTAAACATAGACGACCTAGAAGTTGGAACCATCACTCAAAATCCAATTTGTTGTTTTGATTCCCACTGGATCCAAGATCATAATCAATTGTGGATACATTTTTGAAATATGACATCTGATGCTAAGTTCTCTTCAAAAAGTAGCAATTGTTATAAGAAGTACATGCATAAACTGCATAATGTAATACATTCTTTTGGTTAGAAAAATAACCTCAATGTTATTAGTGAATACAGGTGAAAGAAAAGGCAATCAAACCTTGAATCTCCATAACAAAACAGGAGATGGCACTATGGCTGTAGGATTCAATGTTAATATGGTACTCTTCAAATCATCTACCTCCATTGAATGCAACAATGTTTCGTCAACACCATTTCCCGTCTCAGTACCAGACAAATATTCTACAGAAAGAATGTGTCATTGATAGATTGGACCCTAGACAAGRAATGATGGATAAAAATCATAAAAAGCGAACCAAAAGGTATCAAAAAAAGGTATACCCAAATCAGATACTACAGGTCTGCTTCCAGACTTCCTTAAATGTGGACTATTGGCAGGAACTGCCACTGGATTTCCAAACATAGATTAAATCGAAAGTGGACAAGTGTTTGTCACCACCCAACCTTCGTCAATAACCTGCAWTTATGAATTTACGCATATATATGAGAGATCCTAAGAAAACAATGGATGGAGTCTTCCCCTAACATTGGTGATTTCTTGAGTGATATTCTAAGAAAATATGCCCTTTTTTTCCTTCTTTCAATTTTATTTTCGATACTGAATAATTTCTCACATTACAACCATCACCCTCATGCCCTGATGCTTTAACTATTTCCTAAGTTAGGAATGAATGATGTTAAGAAGGCCTTATGCATATCCCAGGAATGAATGATGTTAAGAAGACCTTATGCATATCCCACCATGTTTTTGTACGAGTGAAAAGACAAAATGAAACAAAACAAAACAGAAGGGCCAAAGGCAGAGCATATGGAGAAACTTTGAGACGTGACTGGCAGAGATAGGGAGTGAACTCCGGCATCTGAAGAAAGACAACCTAAGGAAGAGGTTCCTGTTTCGTCAGCGCTCTAGGCAAGAGTAGTAGCAAATTCGACGTCTGAAGAGGAATGGCCAAAAGAACTAGGAAGGAACTATGTGATCAGGAGAGAAAAGAAGGAATGGCGCAGACTATGTGGGCTGGGGAGTGGAATTGGGGCTCAGCTCAGAAGAAGAAGGCCAGCAGCAGATCTGCGGACCAAATTATCATTTCTTCTCTACTACAAGTCAACCACAGTGATTATAACGGAATTCGTAAATCCCATTTTCAAGAACTCTACTCAATCCCAATTTTCATCTCTACGATACGCCTAATGCACATAGAATGTCTCTACTCTAAACCACCAATTCTATCTACATAGTTGAATGATCTCAAATTGCATGGCAATTAATAAGACCAAAATGAGACTACAAAACCCAACAGAGGCATTTTCTTCACCAAGATTTACAAAATTTAGAGGTACAAACTACACATAGCCTTCGATAAAGCAATACCCATCACAAAATAAGAAGAATTCAGAATTACAGATCTACACCCAGCTCCAAAAATCAAAGAAATTTAATATGACGCCATAAAAAAAACGCAAGCAGAGAGGGATTATAGAAACAGAGAAATGGGATTGGATCGGATCCGGAGAGACTTACAGCGAAAGATTCAATGCGTTCGTCTAATTGGATTTGATGCGATTAATCAACAAACTGCGAACCCTTTTGAGTCCGCTGGATCTCACCCCACCCCACCAAATCTGGCGCAAAGTGTTGGAGGCCAAACTTGAAATTTTGATTTATTTTTTCTTTTTGTGGGCTTTGAGTAAGGATTAAGCAGAAGACAAAGCGTGGGATGCAAAGAACAGGGCGTTCTTCATGCAAATTTTAAAAGGAAAATAAAAAATGGCTTCCGAATGCAATTTTGACCCCGAGCTTGCTTTCCATAAAGGGGTGCAATCTGGTCGGGTCAGGTTGCAGACCAAATCGACCCGACCCAAACACAATCAATTAAAACCTGATCCGATTACTGTCGAGTCGGATTTGCTGAACCGAATCGAACCGGATTGTGTCGGTTTTCGAGGGTACATTACAGTTATACACCCTTACTTCTGTTTCTAAATTTATCTGTGTCATCTATAGAAATTATTTTAAATTTTTAAATTTTAAAAGATGGAAGTGATTCTAAATCCTTAATTCTATTGATAAGCAAATGAATTTCAAAGGATTAAAATTAAGTTAAGGCACCTTTGTTACTTGAAAATTGATGTGGCAAAAGTGAGTTGGAAAATTTTAAATGACGTGACAATATTAAATAATTTTATATTATTTTTATCCATTACTTCTTCTCCAATTTTAAGAATTATATGCACAAAATTCCTAAAAATAAAGAAGAGCTAAAAAATAGTGAAAGAACCCAAGGTGTAGGAAACCCAAGTTTTTGACATGGATTTTTGAGCAAGAGGGGAAACGTGTGCATAATGGCATGTTTGTCCCTAGTTGATGTTAGTGGGAGAAAATCAGAAAATGATAGAACAACCAAAATTAGAGAAGGATAGGGGAGGAAAAAATTGGGAGAGAGAAAAAAAAAATTACACTACAAATAAAAATGATATAAAATTATTTAATATTATCACATCATTTAAAATTTGTTAACTCAATTTGTCACATCATTTATTCATTAGTTAAACAAGGGTCAAATAAGCTTAGGAAATTTCTCAAAATAAATAAATAAATAAAAATAAGCTTAGGGATCATTTAGAACCATTTTCTAATAGTTGGAACCAAACTGTCACTTTTTGAAACTTAAATGACCAAATAGATATTTATCCTCAAGCTTAGGGACAAAAGTGTATTTTACCCTTAAAATTAAAATTTATTGTTTTAATATTCACAGGAAATGAAAATAAAGTATAAAGTTATTACTATTATACCTTTATTTATTATTATTTATTCTTTTTTTTTAAATAAAGGTGCATTTCATTAAGCCACGTGGGCAAATGAAGAAGAGATGTTATCCTCCACGAGAGGGAGAATCCAAGGGGGAAGGGAGGAAACCAAATACAAGAATTTGAGGATCTAATGGACATTTTTGCCAAACAATTTGTTGGTTTGTTGAGAATCCGACGAAAGTGTCAGCTATAGAGTGAATATCGTAAATCCAAACGCCTTCAGTACCTATGGCCAACGGGTCACCTCGGAGGAGAGAGATCGCCTCCAGACAATAAGATTCAACCAAAAGTCTTGTAAAAATCCAAAGATCAGCCATTTGAGTACCCTCAACGATGGTGAGAAGCTCGGCTAACAGGGGATTGTATGTAATTCGAGTGTAAAGTGAAGCTGCAATACAAAATTGGCCAACGGAATCCCGAAAAATGAGACCTAATCCACTCTCCTAACGAGAGGTTCCACAAGAAGCGTCAATGTTCAATTTGAACCAGTCAGAGGGGGGCTCCACAATTCCAAATGAAAGATTTGGGAGAAGCACAATATTGATGATCCGTTACAAAAGCTAAAGTTGTTTGAATGTCATCTAAAGAGTCTAGGTTTACGAGACATGTCTCATTTTGTCTAGGGCAAATGGGAGATGTTATTGGGTATATTGTGAGCCTCTAATTAATAGCTAGAGGGTAGAGTGCAAGTGCACACTGTCACAAGTAATAATATGAGAGTATTCCAAGTTCGTCGTCTCCACAGGGACTAGTTTTCTTTAAAAATTAATTTTGTAAATTGCTTAAATGAAGAATCGAGTTGGGATAAAAGTTGGTGAATTTGTTGGGAACGCAAATTAAAAACACAAGGATTAAAAAGTCAACCCCCCTACTAAGATTTAGTTCTAAAGAGATGAATTACGCCTATCAAATGTGCCCTAATTTTGCTCGATTTATGCAAACTGGTTCAATTCCTATTCCATATCGCTTTTGGTTTGTTTAGAAACTTAGGCCAGTGTTTACATATGTCTATGCAACTCAAGAATCCTAAATAAATCAAATCCCAACTTATGTTTAATGGGTAAGAGAGCCTATGTCTAGCATCTTGTTTTAGTTCTTATTTCTAAGTAACTTCTCGTGTTACCTTGATGAAATCTGTTTGACTCTAACCTTCTCAGAATTAAATTCAAACTAATGCGATTTAAACAAGTGGCCTACAAGAAAATCAATTGGATAAATTGTATCAATCAAGATAAGCAAAGAGAACGTAATACGTCGTGCTCACTGATAGATGTAATTTAACATAGATGAACTAAACCATTCGTAGGAGGGTTGAAGAAACAATTTAACTACTCATGGAAATGGAAAAAATGAAAACACAAGAGAAGATAACAAAAGAATGCATTTTAATTAGAATTRGAAAGAAAGTACAAAATGGAACAAGTTGAATTGTAATAAAATAAACAAGAGTAATTGCAGAAAAATTAATTGAAGAACAAAACTTAAAAACTAAAGTTGATAACAAAGTAAAAAGAAAGAACAAAAGCATGGAAATGAGATGTCTTGAAGTGATGCTTGAAAGCACCTTTTATAGGCCATGGAGGTAACAAGATATTGAGAAATGCATACGATGTTGGATGTAGAGATTTTAGCAACTAATAACAAATCTTTGACCAATTACTTGGTCAAAAGTGGTTATTCACATTTTGACAATCTAGACATCAAATGTGACTGAAGCATTGTGAAGCTGGAACTTCCAAAGTAACTTGGCTAACTCAGTCCTCTAGTAAGCTAGAAATTCTAGTCATGCGATATGTTTGACGCATTGTGATCATCAATCTTCACTTTTCCTTACAAAATAAGCCTATTTATACAATTTAGCTTTCATTTACCTATAACTGAATTCCAAAGTCCCTAATCACAAAATATGCACATTTTCCTTAAATTATATGCATAAACATACATATTTCATCCCAAATAACCATCAATTAAGCATGCAAACCTACACTTTTTTAGCCTTTAATCAAGGTTTATCATATGCCCTAGTTCATTGTAATACTTGTACATCACACTCACTTTCGAACAAGTGGGAGATCGTTGAGTTTGGTGCCCTTAGCTCGTGTATTTATGAAAAATTATTTATTCAATAAAAAATTATCTTATTATTTCTTTGCATTACTCGTATTTCAATAAATTAAGATTCAATGTTATTTAATATAACTGGAACAGTATATATTTAATATACAATGTATATATTTGATCTACAGTATATATTTAATAAACAATGTACATATTTGATCTACAGTATATATTTGATATACAAATGGATAATGTTCCAGTAATAACCTAAATGGTCCATAGTACACGGATGAGATTGGGTACCTTATCTTGATAACACTATGGACACGACCCGCTTGTAATAATTACAAACGACTTTATCCAGGTCGTTCATGTAGAGACATGCGAGTGGGGGTATCCTATACAATGAGTTTGTATAAAACCGGACTGCRAAACAATTAATCATTGGTTCTAACACCGTTAGTCAATAGATTGTTATCTCATATGATGACCAGGTAATTTGATCTTAATCCTAAGCGACTTATGGATTCCTGCCTACAAGGAATCATCCTTTGATTTGTATGGGTGAAAGTGGCTAAGGTTGTCAACTTAATAATCCTACCATTTTGGGGACAAGACCGAGTGGGGAGCTGGAAACATAACTACGCAAAGATGAAATTCACTTCTTCCCGACTTTAAGAAAGTAGATGACTGTTCCTTTACATGCTGACTCTAGGACTTGAACAAGGGACCCACCCTCTCACTGGCCCAACAGAATCTTCCAGTTATTGGTCGGACCATAACTGGATTGTTCATTAGAGGAGAAGTGATATTTAAGGAGTAAGATGTAACTCAGGGGTAAAACGGTAATTTGACCTAACTAGAGTTACGAGTACTCGCGAAAAATTGACTTGTCATTAATGGTCGTATATCCATGGACACGAAAATATTCTGCAATGAGAAAAGTGCAGCTGCGGGTCTTTAGTGGAGTGACCCATAGTCAACGAATGTTGATTAACTCGGTTAATGAGTTTGATTGATTAATCTCGTATCATTAGAGCTTCTGATCTATAGGTTCTATAGGTTCATTAGGTTCCCTTGCTAGCTCACAACGGGTAAAACAAAGATCAATATTTTGAGAAAATTTGAAATGTTTAAATTATATATCAAGGAATGTATGTAATGTATATTATGATGTATTATAGTTTATTTAAAAAAAAAGTTTCGAGAGAAATATTTGAATAGGATTCCAATAATTAATATGAATTGAATTCATATTAAAACTCTAAGTTATACAAATGATTTGAATATGAATCAAATATATAGTTTTAATTAAATATGTGATATTTAATTAAAAGTTTAATAATTAATTGTTGATTATTTATTTATTTAATATTTAGATTTAAATTAATAATTATTAATTAGATTAATAATTAATAATTGTTAATTGATTTAATTATTTGTTTATAATTAATTAAATAAAAAGAAGAAGATATCTTAATAGTCTTGGGATTTCTCCTAAATTCAAAAGAAAATATCTTATATCCAAAAGAATAAGATATTCTAATGGTCGTAGGATTTTCCCTGAGTATAAATGTAACAATCCTTAAGAGGGAAAAATGCTAAAAAAATCTCTCTAACTCTCTTATTCTCTCAATCCCTTGCAATTGAATCCCACAATCCAGATTTTCGATCGAGAGACATAACGAGAAATATCAAATGGTGTTGTCTCATTGGAATTATTCGAAGAAGAGTCTTCAAAGGTAAAATCCAACATTCTTCCTTGTTTTATATCTTTATGTGTTTTAAATTTCAAATGAAATTCAAGAACGTGTTCTACTGCTTCCACTCCGGAGCTCACATCCTCTTTACTTGTATGTTCATAATCATCAAAGTAGAATTTCTAGTTGAAAGTTAGAATTTCTAGTTGAAAGTTTAAACTGTTGAGCCAGGGGACTTTACTAATTTTGATTTATTCATTTTGAATTTGGAGATTATCCTTTTGTTGTATGAGGCTTGACCGATATGAAGATTTTCTCAATTTCTAGAGATATATCCATACCTAATATTCTTCTAGCTAGGCTTTCCCATGTTTTTCATATCAACTTCTACTTTTAGGTTTTGTTTTACTCGATTTATCTTTTCCCTTTTATTTCCAACCAATAACATATCATCAACTTACTTATACAAGAAGGTAAATACTTACAAAATCTTTTGTTGCTAAGCAAGTATCAAATGAGCTTTAAAAACCAACGAAAAATTCATCAAATCTGTTATACCAACACTCGGGGGACTGCTTGAAACCATAAAGGGATCTATTTAACAAACATACCAACACTTCTTTCCCTTTTACTTATATCCTTCGAGTTGTTCTATGAAAAATGTTTCCTCAAGAGGTCTAAAAGAAATGTGGTCTTGACATCCAGCTGATCCAATTCTAAGTTTCTCTAAGCTACTAAAGCCAACAAGACCCTTGTACAAGTATGTTTAATAACTGGAGAAAAAACTTATGAGTAATCAATTCCTTCTCCATGTGTAAATCCTTTGGCAACCAACCTTAACTTAAATCTTGGTTTCTAGACAACAAAACTCCCTCTTTAAATTTGTATATCAATTATTGAAAATATTACCTTTTGAACTTTTGGTAAGGGTACCAAGTTCCAGGTCTTATTTGTCCCAAGTGAAACAATTTCTTCTGTTTGGGGGTAACCATACCCAGGACACATGGAGGACCCTCATTGGTATTTGAAGAAACTGGATAAGAGGGATTGCCCAGGTCCACCTCGGCCCTGCCGAGGAGACCGGGTTCGCCCGATATAAAAAGGCTAAGTATAGGCGTCAAGGTTCGACCTGGCTTGGGTCCGACCTGCTTGGAACCCAACAGGTTCGACATGAGAAAAGACATATAACCGCCGGTCGTGTGTACTGTCGGATCCATCACCTATAAATAGAGGGCTTCATTTCACGCTCAGGTATCGAATCTCACCTCGAACTAAATACAGAATCCGATCTATACTGACTTGAGCGTCGAAGTGTTTACCCTCTTGTGCAGGTCCACTCTAGTGTTCAGGTCGGAACCGGAGACCGGGTTCGAGCTCGATTCGTGAAGAACCGTTGTGCAAACTCTTGCATAAACATCTTCATTCATTGCAATTTACTCATTGTTCAACATTTGGACCGCCGATAGCTTCTTGAAAGTTCATAGGCTCCATGTCATTAAGTGAATGACCTGCACTTAAAGCAACTGCAACTATATTTGTTTCAATATAATTTGTCTCATTTGCCTATTTTGAGCAAGATAGTAACTTGTTAAATCAGGTTGTGATTCAGATATTTCTTCAATTTCCTCAATTTCGACTTCTCTGATAACTTGAGTTGAGCTCTCAAGGACATCAATTTCAACAGCAGAAGGTAGCTCCACCTCGATTATTGAGTTTTCTTTCGCACTGAAAGTCTTTAGTAGCTGCTGATACATGAACATTACCCCTTCACGAAATATATATCTCTACTATTTATATATCTCTTATCTGTGGAATGTCATAATTTTAACCTTTTTACTATAGAAAACCTGACAAACATACACCTTATTGCGAAGGCTTTAATCTCCCCTGATTTGAATGAACATAAAAAACACAAAAAAAACGTTAAGATTATCAAGTTTTGGAGGGTGTTGTGTCCATTTTTCTTCAGGAGTAATGAAGTTATTTGCTATGTGTGGACACCTATTAATTGTATATACGGCATAGGAAGCTACCTCAACCCATAGTTTTTCTGGTAAACTTGCATGTGTCAGAAGATATCTCACTCRTTTCATTAGTATGCAATTCAACCTTCCTGCCACTCCATTTTGCTATGAATGAATTAAATCTTGAAAAATTAAATCATTTATAGTAACAAAAATATAATAATATCTTAATTAATTTAATTATATGCTAAAAAAAATTTTTAAGTAACATGTGGAAGTGGAAATTCAAATTCACGACCTTATGATCGAAACTAGGAGTCTTAACCAGTTGAAGCATTGGTTCAAGTTGACGAATTATATTCAACTTGACACGGTATGAAACTAGTGGAAAAAATATATATTTTTTAATAATTGCATATGTGAGCCTTCTATTTGAATTCTAACAAGAAGTTCCAAAGTCAAAACTTGGAACTCCCATATTTGTCATGGTCGGTAATAGATTAATGTCAGAAACGAAAAATTAAAATTGAAAAAAAGAGAGAGAGAGAGAGAGAGAGAGGGAAGTTGATATTTCATTAATAATATCTAATTAATTAGTAAAATACACATTGATTGATATGGTTAATAAACTGAGATCCTATCAAAACATGCCACCTGGCTAATATTTTCAAATTTTTAATTTTCATCCCTTAACATTTTTAATAATATCATCATTATTAATATTAATTAATTTTGTGGTGGATGTTAATTCACCCCCTCTCTCTCATGGGAACATCCCCAAGAGCTTATTGCTCAGCATTTCAGGCTCCATTCTGCAGCTGCTTTCCATCTAATTAAAAAAATAATAACATAAGTTTTATAATTAAATAAATTATAATCCTAACTTTAAAATACAACAGGTTGTTTTAAAAAAAAATTATTATATATATATATTTTTTAGAACAACTTCCTTATGAAGTGGTTTACGAAAGTAAAGATTATCCTATGTTTCATGATTTTAGAAAAATAAATAAATTTTGGTACTGTTTAAAAAGGGAGGCGTTTGTGAAAATAAACTAGGAAGAAATATACAAAAATTAAAATTTAAAAAATAGTTATCCATATATTTTTTCACTAAAATTTGTTCTCAAATGTATTCTTTTGAGTATGAGTTTATAGGATTAATAATGTGTTTTCAAAAGATAAATAAATAAATAATTAATGTGTTTGGAATGACTTTTAGAAAGTAATTTTAAATTTTTTTTATTTACAAACATCATTGAAAAAAAGTACTAATTTAGAGTGTGTTAGTTTTTTAGGTAACTTTAATTAACTAAAAATGTTTTTAAAAAATTAACGAGGTATAGTAACAAATGAAAAATATTTTTAAAAAATACGGTTGGTGTAAAATCTTTTTTTTTAGAAAGTGTAAAATCTATTTTTAAAAACACTTGATAGATAATTATCTAAAAAATTTTAGTTTAAGAATTTGAGATATTGATTACTACACAAAAAAAAAGTGTAAAATAAATGCTTAAATTAAAAAAATATATATCAAACTAAATGAGTTTGAGACAATTTTTTTTTCCCTTTTGAGTTCATATTTAGGTAAAGAATCAAACTCGCAATCTCTTAGTCACCGGTGAAACTACAGTAGCCACAGATACGATTCTCAATCAACAAGGGGAAAATGTAATATGTGTTTATGTAGTTATTGGTCAAAAAACATCTTCTGTGGTTCAAGTAGTGACTACTTTACAGGAAAGGAGGCAATGGAATACACTATTATAGTAGCTGAAACGGCGGATTCTCTGGCTACAGTACAATACCTTACTCCTTATATAAGGTGGATATCTTAATACGTTGAGCTATTTTTTTAAAATTTTTTTTTAAAGAACATTGAATTATGTTTTGGTTGGCAGTTTAAAACGACTTTAATAATGTTGTTATGTAAAACAGTATGTGTTTAGAAATAAGAACTTAATAACACTTTAATATATCTTTTAATATTTAAAAAAAAATTAAATATTTTTTACCATTTATTTAAATACCATAAATTTTTTTTTAAAAGCAATGTTTTTTATTATTCTGTAAGTGTTACCAAATTAACTCTAAAATTTCTAATAGGTAAAAAGGAAAAAAGAATAAGAAAATATATTATTGATGATCTTTGGGCTTGAGAGAGGTTAGAACTTTAGATATTTTATTTAATTCTTTTAGATAAGAAAAATGACTCAAATCGATCTACAAAATTACTGTTTTGAGTAGTACATAATGAACAAAATTTTTTTCAAATAAAGTTCTAATAAACAATTGATTAGGTAGATCGTATGTCTTTATTCATGACACGAATATTAATTTTATATTATCTTTTTTTATTCGATATCTTTTTGCATAAAAAATAATACCAATAATATAATAAAACTTATTGTATCATATAAAATATGCTACCCAAATAAAACTACAACATCACTCTAACTTTGTTGGATCCAATTTAGAGTTTTTTAAAAGATTCAACTTGAAAGAATAATGTAATAATAATTTTAAGGTTCTTCAAATCTACACAAAAGAAAATGTATTTTTCAAAAACAAATTGAAACTAGATAAACTCAAAATCGATAAATAGAGAAAAAAATTTAATTATGAAAATTCCAATTTGAAAAAAAAAAAAACAGTAAAACAGTAAAACTTTCAATGTGTAAAAAAGGTAAGAAAACAATATTACCTGAACATGCAAATTATGGAAAACCTTCCCATCAAAAGTCTCAAAAGAAGAAGCATTCAACAAAGAAAGACCTTCTTCCTCCAACCAAACCAAGATCTCCGACAAGGAATTCCGGTGACCGTCGTTAATATCGGTCGATATTTGAACCGCCATTTCCTGTTGACTGACCCGACTTGCCGAAATGACCGATGAGGAGCTCGAAGCTGCGCATTTCTTTGCTTTCCTCTCTTCACCACCCTCAACTTCCTGTCCAGTCATGGCTCCCATAAGCTCTTCTTTCTTCCTCATCAGCCCCTCGACTTGCTGTTGTAGCTCCGGTATGTAGCTCAATATCCTCGAAATTGTCGCCGGGTTACTCAGCTTCTTCTGGGAGAAAAAACAACACCATTGTTAACTAAAAAACCATCATCGGTTGGAGCTTCTAACTATGGTGGCGGGAAGAACCTCTAAAGAGAGATGGTAGGTAACCATTCATTAGGGTAGGACATTTTAGTAACTTCACAATGAGAGTTATTTAAAAGTTTTTGACAAGTTACCCTCAAAAGACATTTTTTTCTCTCTCTTTCTCGAAACAAAAGTTGTCATCGTAGATATATAGAGATTTAGTGAGTTTAAATCATATATTATAGGTAAAACTGAGGTGTCAATTACGGTTGAGTTAAATTCAGGTTGGGTAAAAATCAATGCATCAATGAAAGTATCTGCTTACTGAAAAGCACTTGAGTTTTATCCTATATTATATTGAATAATATTTAAGTTGCTTACTGGTTAGCACTGTTAAGGAATAGATAAAGGAAATATATAATTTCTTCTTATTTTTTTTAACTTTTTTAGAAAATAAATAACTGACAATTTTAGTGATAGGTCAACAGGGAGACGAGTACTAACCGGTCAGCTCCGGAATTTTGTTCTATTATATTACTTGGAAATAAGTATGTCTTTGATTCTTTACTTCGAGATAATGGAATCATGAGAACACAAGTTAAACGGTTACCATTTGATCAGCGGAGGGAAGGAGGGCGCGCAAAGAGGAGTAGAGAGAGTTGATCTTCTTTCGACGATCCCGCTCGCTTGCATTATGGCTAAGCTTCTTAGCCATCTTCGAGACCGTGGCGCTGCCTCCTGGCGACGGAGTAGTGGAAGAGGGATAGTGGTCGAGCTCGAAGGGCGGTGGTTGCAACGGCGGTGGCGGAGCGAATTGATGAAGGTGAAAGGAATCAGAAGCTTCAATGGGAGGGAAGAGAGAGTTGTGATGGTGATTGAGAGAGATGGGATCTTCCAAAGGCCATTGATGAGGAGAAAACAAAGGAGAGGAAACAGCCAACATGATGGAAATAGAAATATTGTAGATGTGAAGAAAAGGGATTTCAAATGGTTGCCAACAAACTGTTGAATGTTGATGATGCCCAAGTCTTTTATACAAAAATTCTCTGTCATTATTAAATGACAAAATTCTTAATTTATTTCACAACTTGGAGTCTCTTTTTACATTGGATTCATGTACAACAAACATATGTAAAATATTTTTAATTTTACACCTACTCCAAAGTATAATTGCGTATTGATTAATAGTATAATGTCGTATACTTTAAACCAATGATCTCAACCTTGAGAATCGGGTGGTTCGATCGAATTGTTGGAGGCTACTCAGCTAGTCAATAGGGAGGTGATGTCTTGAAAGAAGGAAATATATTTTGAAGCTAAGTAAGAGCTTCAGTTTCTTCATATTAGTCGCAATCAGAAGCTTTTGACCCAACAGACTTCTCGTTTTAACCTTTCTATCCTTTGGAATAGGCGTTTTCTCACTTGACTTTTACATCCGGTCAGTGGAGGTGTTAATTCAAATGTAACTCATTGTGGTGTTGCTTTTTGTTAATAGATTTTTCTTTTTGCTAAAAAAGAAAAAGAAAAAACTAATAATCCAAACAATTTTAAAATTATATTAGTCTTTGCTATTAATATAAATAGGAATACATCTTAAAATGTGATGTGTCCTTCAAAAACTTCCTATACTTCTCAGGTAAATGGATAAAATTATATAATTAATTTACACAAGTTAATGACAAAGGCTAGGTATTTTTTTTGTTATGTCAAGTTTAATTAGAGATTAAATAAAATATTTTAAGTAAGATGACATCATCACCAATTATTTTCAAAATGATTTAATATTTATAAAGTTACATTAATATTTTATTTATTAATTGTGTCCAGAATTAAACTTGAGAATAGAAGCCAAATGCTATAAGATGTCTAGTTTTAGTGTATAAAAAAGAATTTTAACTATATGAAATCAAAGAATAATGTATTTGGTAAGTTGGAATTTATCTATCCTTTTACATCCTTTTTGGAGTCGGTTCAGAGTTATGTTTTGGCATGTACTTCTTTACGGTCAGATACGTTGATGGAGCCTAAATGAGAATATTGTTTTATATTTTTTTTTTTTGACGCTGATGTACCCATACATATATATACACATATATATATATACATATGCATGTATATATATGTATCTGTATATGTATATATGTGTATATGTATATGTACGTATGTATATATATGTATAAATAAATAAATAAATAAATAAATAAATAAAGTGTGGATAAGAATCATTAGATGCATGAATTGAAGAAAAGAGAAAAAAAAAAAGAATAAAGATTCATATTAAACTAAGGGTAGACAGGTCACATGAGAGAGAGGCAAAAGAAAGAATATAAATGAGAATATATAGATAAGATATAAAATATAGTTTATGGGCGAGCGTGTGGCGAGACGAGGAAGCGCGCTTATGCGCGTGGGGCTACCAGCGCCCGCACGTGCCCGACGTTACATGCCACGAGAATCTCATCAAATGTCCTTATATGCACGTGCCCATGCCACTCTCTATGTGTGTGTATATATATATAATATTATTTCATTTATTTACCATAAAATTATATATCGATATATTTATTTTAATTTAATAACTTATATGGATTATTTATTATCTGATAACTTTTAGAAATTATCTTTTAGTTTTTGGATTGTTATTTTTTTACCGTATAAATAAACGCTGACTTACGAAAAACGATTCAATTTTAGAAAAAAAAATGTAAATAAATGTTTGATATTAACATTTCTATTTTTTGTTATAAGATGTTTCTAAAGAGTGGCCTGAATAAATCGAATCAATTCAACCAAAAATTTTCATGATTAGGTTGAGTTGAGTTTATAATATAATAAAGTTTGTTTTGGTGGAATAAATTTACATTTAGATCGAGTCTAAAAAGTACTTCAAAACAATCGTTGTGCATGACTATAATGTTTTTGTGTTTTTTTAATTTAATTATTGCTCTTTAGAAAATTCAGTCCCCTTCATTTTAACATTGTTTTAAAGAGAGATTATATAATGGGTGATTGGTAAAATTGATTGTCATATTTACAAATTTATCACACATAACAAATCATTGGTAAATATGTCTATCTGTTATCCTGTAATTTACTAATATACTTTTTTTCTATCGTTAATATATCAAGAATATCGCTAGTATATAATATATTATATTATATATATTTTGTATGTCAACGACTATACATATAGACTCCAAATTGACATTAGTTTTTTAGGGTGAGATTCATTTTATTTTTGTGATGGGTGGTTTTTTTAGATCAGATTATCGTTGATATATGGGCTCCAAATTAACATTATTTTTTTAGAATGAGATTCATTTTGTTTTTGTGATGGGTGGGATTTTTTAGATCAGATTTATATATCTAATCGTTTAAATGAATGTATAATAAATGTATAGTGTCTAGTTGAGTTAGTTAGCTGTTGGAAATTTTAATTGTATTGGATTAATATATTTTATTTGTCAAGTTTGCTATTTCTCTTTAGTTTTTTTAATGAGTTAGTGTATGTACTTTTTAGATTTTTTAATGGGCCTAGTTGATGTACTTTTAGATTTTTTCAATTTTGGAATTTTACTTTTCTTAAAAGAAAAAAAAAATCACTTTGATCTTTGTACTTATTATTATTTTTTTTCATTTTGATTGGTGCACTTGAAAAATATTTATTTTGACTCGTATACTTTTAAAAAATGATTATTTGAAATCTTATATTTTAAAAAGTGACTATTTTGATCACCCGGCAGGTGGTGGCATAGTGAGCTTGTAGTCGAATGGGGATACCCTCTTCTTAGTTTAAGCCCGACAAGGCATGTAGCCAGCGATATCCTCCCCCCGCCCCCCCAATTTTAGAGACGAGTCTCGTGACATCAATTATAGGAGTTGATGGCTGTCGACACCTCCAATTAGGGAACCTCTGGTGTAAGCCACACGACATGGGATTTCAAGTTATAAAAAAAGTAACTATTTTGGTTCACTTGTATTTTTCTTTTCTTTATCTCATTCTTTTATTTTTAATCATAGTTCGAGCACTATACTGCTATGGGTAGAAAAAAACTCTAGTTTCTCAAATTTGAATGCTATGGGTAGAAAAAAACTCTAGTTTCTCAAATTTGAATTCTACCGGCCGTCTAAGGAATTCAAATAGGAGAAGATATCTTAATGACATTAGATTTTCTCCTCTATTTAGAATAAGATATCTGGGTGACTTGAGGTTTTTCCTCCTATAAATAGAGGATACTCATAATCAAGATAGGTTACAAAACTATATTTTTTTGGCTATGTTTCACATAAAATTCCGATTCTGTTTAACAGTCGTTGTGGTGTGTGGCTAGCACCACACCATTTGCAGATTTCGTTGAATCTTTTTATTTTAGAAGATTTGTGTAAATTTGATAATTTCGATAATCCAAATTTATGTATCACAAATATTATATTCAATAAATTTCTTGAAATATTGTCATAATTTTATACCAAATGATTTTCTTTTTGTGTATAGAATATGTTTAAGATTTTTCCATCAAGAATCAAAATGGATGTTTTGAAAATTAAAATAAAAAAAAACTACAATTACAATGACCAAAATAAATGTTTTGAAAGCAAAGGGTAAAAAATATATAAAAACAAAGAAAGTTTGAACATTAATATAAGATTCAAACATTTTGTTGGTTCAAAATCAAGAGTGAGAGGAGAATTTGAGCCTAACATCAAAGAAGATTATTAATATTTTAATCAATTAAACTACCTTTAAGACCGACAATAATTTAATAATTGAGTTGGATAGATTTTTTTTTCTTGTTCCTGTTGTTGATGGTTGTAGCTGTTTCGGTTGCAACTTGGAATTTTGATGTTGGATTTGGTGTGCATTTTTTTTCTTTTGGTTGAAATGGAGTATTTTGAAGTCAGGTTTGAGCATTTATAAGAAACTTTTGCCAATCCAAATAATAGTAAAATTTTCATATAATAAAATATTTTGTTAAAAGGCACAAATGAACAAATCCATAATATAAATTTATATTAAGTATATCAATGATATTATTTTTATCAATAACAAAAAAATTATATATTAATAATATACTTTTATAATGATGTATCAGCAACAACTTTATCAATAATATAAAAATAGTAAATTAACGATATACTTAAATTAACGATATACTTAATATAGTATGTATATCGGTGATATATTTTATTAGGTATTTTTTTTTTATTCAGAAAAAATGTTATTTGAGTGATATAGGCATAAATTATCATATTTACAAATTATTTTCTAAATAATAAATTTTTAAAATATAGCAACTAATTTTGCCATATAAGTTTCCAATTGATGACTTATTTAGTCTATTAAAGCAGTCACAGTAGCTAACATTACTAACATTTCATGTGAGACAATTTCAATAAACTAACTCTCTTTTTAGTCTCCTGCCAATAGAGCAATGACAAATGCTCGGAACCTTGTTGTAGCACATATCTTGAGGTCTCGAATTCAAGTCTTACGTTGGTTATAATATTGCTCGGTCCAAACAACGAATTCTGGTGACAGAGATCTATAGTGCACATGTCATCCATCCCAAAAAATAAAGATAATAAGCTAGTTGTTTTGGATGTAGGTAGGACTACCCAATGGGAGTTGCCAACTGATTTTTAAAACTTGTCTTCTATTATTTTTTTCTAATTTAAAAATGGTTTAGAAAGGTATATAAATTTTATTCTAGTATTTTCTCCATTTTTTTCTTTTAACATTTTTAATTTAAAAGTTTTGGACATCTATATATCAAGTTTTATTACTAAAACAATTAATAATAGATTTTTGTTAGGGAAATTAAATGCTTCAAAACAATTTTCACTTCCACACTTATATCCAGTAAATCACACGATACAAATAAGAGATTAAAGTTAAAAATAGAAAATAACTCCATAATTTATACTGGTTCACCCAACAATTTATAGGCTACATTTAGTCCTCCGCTCATATGCAGGTTTTACT